CTAAGAGGCCGAAAGCGCTCGGAATTACAGAACATTTGGACAGTTTCTACACACTCTGTGTCCAGAAAAGAAAACACTTGTTTGAACACAAGAAACATTACATAAAAAACTTAATCGGAATACCTTGTCTGTCGTCATTAATGAAACATATATATATATATATATATATATATATATATATATATATTTATATGTAACCATGTATTTGGACAGCAATCCCTCTTTTATACAAATTTCATTAAAAACTACTGACAAGGTGCTGCGGTTAAGTTTTTTTTAATTTCTCTTGTGTTCTTATAATTTTTTCTGGACATAAATTATGCAAAAATTGTTCGAATGTTCTGTATATCTAAGCGCTTTCGGCTATTCTTTTAGCCATTATCAAGGATGATTCTATTTTTACTGGAGGTGTGGATATTTTTATGTATCTAGAGTTATAGGATTTGTTTTTTATTTTCCAAACGCGTAAAAAAAAGGATAAAAATAATCGAAGCATTATTAATAAGAAAGAAAAATCCAAAACTCAAAATCAACTAAGAACATGGCCCCAATGTGCTGGCCCTGTTTGGAAAATAAAAACGCAAGATCGAATTGAAGAGGCGTCCAATCATTTTTAGGGGCACGTGTGCGCAGACAGTTTGCACGTACTGAGATTAATAAATAACTAAATAAATAAATAATAACTTGTTTTTTGATCACTTATTAAATGAAGTTTATTTTATTTTTTCCGAAAATCAGATTTTCCGTTGCGCAGTGCCCACTTCACCCGACTCTACAAAGAATGGTTTAACGTTTTTCGCTTGAATGCGGAATACTTGACAAAAAACGCGGTATCCTGCGGGAATATCTGCCTTCAAGTTAAATGTTGCAATGGCTTTACTTTCGCTTCTGCCCAGCAGAAATGTCAGCTTTACCAAAAGGCTCCGTCGCGGGCTTATTCTATATCGTGTCCTCAAGATACAGCGAAATGTTACGTTCGAAGTTAAATCTGGAATTCTCTATGATTCATTTACTGAATACGAAAATATCTCCGTAATCGTGATGTTAAGTTGATATGCGTAGAATCACCCCACTTGTCTGCTAACAACCACTAGCTGTCGTTACCAAAAAAAGATAAAAGAAAAAAAAACTCTAAAAGAAAAAGAAAACAGCATAATCAGAGCGCGTAAGGTCTATCGCTCTTGTTTCTTTTCTTTTTATCCATAGGTTGCCGTTAGAACGAGACGTGTCTTGTTTCACCTAACCGGAGGGGGGGTCTTTTTAATCCTCAGCGAACCACGTGTCGCACAACATGCAAAACCCTAAGCTGATAGCTCTACCAAACCAACAAGAAATTCTTCTTAAATGTCAAGTCTCTTGGCTTCTTTAATACGACTTTATACAAACTGTACGTACGAAAAAAGAGATCTTTATATAGAAACCTTATTTTTCTTCTTTCTTTTTTATTATAAGCTTCCTTTCTAAGACAATAAAATTGGGTTGTTAATTGTGCAATATTTTTTACGATTTCATTCCTATCACCTGTTCCAGAAAACTTCTAGGTGTCCAGACTTCTATCACGCATTAATCGGCAATCCTGGACCTTCTTACAAAAAAAAACAAAAAACAACAACAACAAAAAAAAAAAAAAAAACGGATTGTCAAAAGGATGGTTTTCCCGTTGACACCGCTATTATTTTAACTACCTTCACTCCTCGGCAATGTTTATTCTTTTAAAAAGCGATGATTAAAATTGTAATAAGACCTAAACATATGAAAGTGAATTTCTACATTTTCTTTGTTCTTGAGAAGTGACAACAAAAATAATAAATACTATTTATTTAGTAGATTGTTTATTTACACTATTTATTTATCATATTGTTTATTGGAATGGTTGACAAAACATTGGCTGATTGCCAATCGATTCTAACTTTATAAAATGGTAAATAATAAAGATTTTCTCATAGTTGGTTCACATATTTTAATAATTTAGTTAAATGTTTAGAAATTTATGAATAAAATTGTTTTCATATTTATTTCTTTATACATTGGTAAATGATAAATATTTCCTTGCATTAGTTTTAATTATATTAGGTTTTAGAATGTTGTAAATATTAAAATATTCTTGTAAATTAATAACCTAATAAAGTGTTTAATATTTTCGTTGCAAATTCTCAAGAACAAAAACAAGTATCATATGTTTCGATTTCATTACAATTCTAATAATTGCTTTTTAAAACAATAAACATTTCCGAAGAGTGAAAGTATTTAAAATAATAGCGGTGTCAAGGGAAAAACTTCGTTTTGAAACTTCATTTTTTTGCGGGCATGAAGGTTCAAGTTTACCCACTAACCTCAAATCTCGAGTCATGTTCTTAAATAACCTCATAAGATCGAAACTTACCTATGGATGTCATACATAATGCCAAACTTGTTTAGAAATATCTAAACTGTCAGTTGTATACAACCGCTTCCTAAGATCAATGGTTAAAAATGGCTTCGATCGAGTGAAGCAAGTAGTCCTTAGTGAGGGCCATCTTTCATCAAACCTTGTGGGCTGGCGCTACAGAATCATAAAGAAGTGTACTAGATAACAGAAAGTACATCCCTTGAAGACAGCAACAACTAAAATAGCACGTGTCACTCGAAAATATATATATATATATATATATATTAAAAATTCTTAGTGGTACAGAACATGAGTATTATTGTAAACCGGTTCCTTTTTCCTCTGTCATTTTTTTCTTTTTACCATCAGTTTTTTAATTATGCCTAATAATATTCAGCTTAATGTTTTTATATATAATATATATATATATATATATATATATATATATATATATATATATATATATATATCATAAAAAAGTTCAAACATTAATATTCCATGGTTATAATTTATTACATTGGAATCGTAATCACGATCCAATCCATCAGAACTACAAATTCAAAAAGAAATCGGAAAATATAACTCTGGGTATGACAAAAACAAAATTTTAGTGAGAGTGTATGTGTGGGGGTGGGAAATAAGTGTGAGAGGGAAATGTAGCAAAGCTCTAGTGAGAGGGTGTAACAGAAGAAAGAAGAACAGGAAAGGCCTAAAGGTGAAGGTGGGGATTAAAATTTAACAGAGAGAAGTTTTGAAGGGAGGAAGTAAGTTCCTTGTAGCTCTTAATAAATTTTGTTTTTCTGTTATTTCCCCTAAACCCTGTTCAAACATCCATTTACTCAAACTCACTATATCATGCGTTGTTTTTCTCTGAATATCTTGTCTTTATTCTGTCCTGTGAGTATCAGATTTTCCAAACCCTCCTTCCTCATTAGTTAACCTAGAAACCTCAATTGTCTCTTTCTGATGTTAAGTATAAGTTTCATTTTTGTTCCCATTTTCTCTAAAACTTCCTCGTTACTCGCATGTTCGGTCCATGGTATCCTAAGTATCCTTCTGTAGAACCACATTTCTGTTACTTCAAGTTTCTTCTTCATCTGTGGGGAGATTGGCCAGCACTCACTGCCATATAGTAAGACAGATATCACTCTGATAGTCCTCTGCTTAGCTTTTGGAATGCGTCTTTGGCTATCCCAATATGCCTTTGGATTTCAGTGCCACACTTTCCATCCTCTGATAAATACTTCCGCACTTAGGTCTTTATTTAAAGAGGCAACAGTGTACAGATGAAAAGATTTAAAACTAAAGTTTTTTTTTTTTTACTGTAGATTGACGTATATTTATATTATTTTATTAGAATTAATATCACTTAATTGATTGGTGTTAACGTCAGTATCCCGACTCCAGAGTTTCTTAGACAGACTGTTTAGCAATCACACCGTCCACTCGTCAGTAGGTATCAGCAATTGAATGTTTACATTTCTCATTTTTTATATGAGCACTTTTCATTGGTGTAAGGTTGGGTTTTTTTTTCACAGTGTGCGTTCTCCTGCGCGTATTTCAGAAATTTAACTTTCACAAGAAAAACTTTGAATATGTATAGGAAATAAACTCTATTTCCCATACAACAAGATACCCACATACGCGCCATATTAAAAGACGACCACAATTTATTTTTTACCCAATAACAGAAAATATTTACAAACATGCCAGAAAGATTTCACAATATAAGACACACCGTTTAAATGGAAGTGTCTATTGGTTAAAAATTAACATCACCATGTGAAATATTTGACCAATCAGAGAAAACTAAAACGTAGACATAGGTCCGGTTTACAGTAGAGTCAAAAACGTAGACATGTGTCCGGTTTACACTAAAGTAAAAAAAATAAACATATCTCCGTTTACACGAGAGTTTAAAAAGCGGACCTAAACTACACTGCTCAAAAAGGTAAACATTGGTCCGGTGTACTGTTGCATGTGTAAGTATTCACTCAGAAGGTGGCTGCTCTACAGGGGATGCAATTGGGATATTTTAAGTCCCGACAACAGAACCAGCATTGATTTATGTATTACAATAAATTGTATGAACACACTGAAGCAAGAAAGAAACAAAAAAGTGCATTGCCTTCATTTTATTATTTTTATATCAAAACAAGACAATAAAACGAGTCTACAAAATCGTTTTGGTGAATATGTTATAGAATTTGATGATATAAGTAATGATTATTTACAAATTTATTTTTTCGAATGAAATTGACTTGAAACCTCTTGTGCACAGATAAATAGGAAAAAGAATAATTAAAATATTTTGCACAATTTGGGCTTTCATTTTATAACACAACTAAAATCTGAAACATTGTTTTAACGGTAGTCATCGTAAGTTTCAAAAAATATTTTCAAGAATCGTTTAACTGAATAAAAAATAGTGGCAGTATATTTTCTGAAACACGTTTATGTGAAATTGCATTGTACTTATAAAACATTGTACTTATAAAACATCATAAGACATTCTTTCAATTCTGGTTTAAAATCAATATTTCCTGGTTACAAAAAAGTTTCTTTCAAAATTAAGGGCGACTATATACGGGTTTTCTTTCCTCTAATTCTATATTTATTTTGCACGTGGAAGTTAGACAATCACTTTACAGGGAAGCGTGAAAGATGATGCCCTATGAAAACATTTTCCGTGGAGTTTTTTCTTGTATTTTTTGCGGTAAGTGTGCCATGGTTCCCCATCATACTCTTCCTCCAGTAGAATATTATCGTCCTTGTCCAAAAGCTTCTTCAAATAAGATTTAAAAGAATACCATTCAGTTTCGTTGGAACTGTAGTCTTTAAGAAGCGGTTGGGTGGCGTTTACCAATCGACAACACATTCCCATCAGGGGTGAGCTGTTCTCTTCACAAAGGTTTATTACTCTTGGAACATTGTGAAGGTGTCTTAGGATCTCATCCTCATCCTTGTCCAGAAGAGCAGAGAACAGCATCGAACGGGTTTCATTGTCTTCTTTCGATATGGACCCCTCTGCAAACATCGTATCCAAACGTGCAAGTAATTTGACCCCTCTACCCCGAACAGAGCTCGCAGCATTGTCTCTTTGTCTCATAATTTCAGGTATGTTTTCCTCCATGTAGGGCCCGTGCATTCCCGTTTCGTTGTCCATGTAACGGAGAACCTGCGCACCACCAATACCAATACCATCTACTCCGGCCCAAACAGCGTGTTTGATTTCGCCGAATTTGAAACCAGCTGAAAAATAGGTGATCAGCCCCCGTTCGTGAGCTTCGTGTACAATAGTCAGGGCTTCTTCAAACGTCAGCTGGTACATAATACACTTAGAAGGATAGGTATCACTGGCCCCGTCCCACGTGACTTTGTCGAAACCGCCGATAGACGTAATCTGAATGGCCCGTTTGGCAATATCGATACGTTCGGTCAGAGAGGCGGTAACGTCTTGCTCGTAATCATCGATTACTGTTTGATTGAGATTCCAGGCGGCGGACAAGAGTTGTCTGTGCTTGTTTCGATGGACGTGTTCTCGGAGGGCGCGCATATAACGCACAGCCTGACTGGTTGTCAAACCTTCCATTGCCACTTTACACTCGGCGCCACCTTGATAAAAAACGGCCGACGCAGATGCTGAAGTCAAATGAACGACTTTCAAAAAGTCTTCTTCAAAATTGCCCGAATCTTTCATGCGACGACCTACAAAATAAGTGGTGGGAGCAGCCGGACCAACATGCAGTCTAACCTTGGAGAAGGAGAGTAATGATGGGATTCGATATGATTCAATTTTTTCACGGGGCAAGTGACGTGGCCGTTCCAAGTGTTCCACGTGGATGATGGCCCCTTTTATCCATTCATTGAATCTAGTCGTTCCCAAGACATGGCCATCGCCTGGATCAGTGAGAGACATGTAGGTCTGTGCGTGTGGTCTGAAACCTGGAGAGCCAAGACACATATACGGCTTCAGGGTAACAGCTTCGCCGGAACTTAGCTTGTAATAAGCGACATGAAAAGCGAGAAACTCGGTCGGGGTTGGCTGGCGGCGTTCATCACGTAGAACCTGTGAAAGTTTGGTGATTGTGTCTATGAAGTTGTCACAAAGAAGGCTACTGTCCCATTTAAGAATCAGGACATTGCCTCGGCTACCGACACAATGTTGAATGTATTCATATTTCCCTTCTACGGGTACTGTGCCGACAATGATTTCGCTTTCAACCCCCCACTCGCGAACAGCTCTCAGGCATATATAGCAAGCATCGAAAGTGGATTTTAACAGGTCCTGAGGGCTTGAGCTTTGAAAAATGCAATCGAAGCAATTGCTGAGTTTGGTGGAGTAATTATTTTTGTCTTGGCCAAAAACCTGTTCCAAGCTGTCTTGAAGCATGGTGCGGACTTTGTTTTCATTGGCAGCCATCGTGAAAGGAAGCTCTTTTTCTGATTTGAAAAGGGCGTTCTTGCATTTTCGTTTCGTTTGGATGTTGTATAGATTCAATAGAAGCGTCTGGATTAACGAAAGTGTTATTCTCCTCAGGCTGCATACACCGATGCGCAGAACTCCGGGTTTAATCTAAAATGACAAGAAAAGGAAAAAATATTGAAAATTTAAATAAAAAAAGGAAACTGACTTCTATAACATATATAGATAGATAGATAGATAGATAGAGAGAGAGAGAGAGAGAGAGAGAGAGAGAGAGAGAGAGAAACTGAAACAGAAAGAGTGGGGGACAGTGGAGTAGTGGGTAGCGGCTCGGATTGAGGAATCGGAGAGCCGAGTTCGAATTCCAGTCGAATCCATTACATTCACTTACGTGCTAATACCCTTGGGAAAGGTATTAATCCTCTTCTTCTCTCTCTAGCTATGGGTAAATATCAGGACAGACTGAGTTCTATAGCCTAGGATGAGAAACTGGTCTAGGAGGACAACTCTGAATTCAAAACTTGCGGAGGGTCGTTTGGGGACCTTGTGGCACGTAGTGCACCAAGTCTCTGTATTCGGCCCTTCAAAATATGTGGTTGGTTCTGCACAAAACCATCACCACTATAATCAAATCATATGCGCTGGTGTCTGGCTGTCGGTTCCTAGGAACTGAGCTGCTTGATCCTCATACGTCGAATACAACGGGAGAGTCCATAGTGGCGACAGTTTGTTTTATGTTAAACACAATTATCAGCACATGGCCTGAATTATCATGGCCTGACGATATTTATGTATGTATGAATGCTGGACAATCTCCTCACAGATAAAGACGAAACTTGAAGCAACAGAAACAAAAAAAGATTCCTGAACTGTTACGTAATATCAGGCCTCCTAAATGGCAGTGAATGCTGGACAATCTCCTTCCAGATGAAAAGAAACGTGAAGCTACAGAAACAAAGAAAAGAGGACTGAACTGTGAATGTTGGACAATCTCATCACGTATGAAGTATGTGCTTGCTTGAATTTGACGTCTACAAATTGGTAGGTTGCGTTTTGGGCTGTTCCTTTTTCTAACAATAATTCGCTTTCTTGCAACCGTTGTTGAGTCCTTTCTACTCGCGTTCATTTGTTACCTATTCTAGGAATCCCTTTAGTTTTCTTTCCGTGTTTGCCGTCAAACAGGTTAAATAAATGTTCGTGCTTGTTAAACATAACAACAAAATCTGATTTCGTGTCATTCGTCCTGAAATTTAGAAGTGGCAATTTCGGTTTATGAATCATTATTCATTCGGAATATCATCATTTACTTACCGCAGGTGATTTGGGAATGCTCTCAGCGGTGGGGGTTGGTTCAATAAAAGGAACGTCCTCTGAAAAGAAGAAATAAATTAATGCCAAGAGTGAAACTGTTAAAAAATAATAATGATAATTGGTTTCAGGTTCATCGAAACACAAAGTGGTCACTTATAATTATCTTTATATAGTAGACATGTTTATACAAATAAAATAGTTGAATGGAGTAATATCCGATTTAAAAGTGGTGGTGGGGCGTGTGCGAAATCAAATGTCAAATTTGAAAATACCTGATTTTATTTTATTTTTGTATTAGGTTGAGCATAGCCGTCGCGTACTACCCCCAAACTCTACGACCGGGGTAGAGCGAGCCTGATTACTGCCCCCGGACAGTGCTTTGTTATTCATGCTATTTTATCAACATTTGCCTTTGTCCACCTTTTGTATACGTCACAAATTACGCTAAACACAACTGACTATTAAAAGATTAAACATTTTCTCCGTTTTTGACATCATTCATTTTTTTCTCGTCTAAATCTGTGAATTTGTTTGACTCATGCTAAGTGTCGAAAAAACATCAATATAAAATTCACAATTTTTTATCACAATATTGAATGTTACATTATTCAACTTTTTAACAAAAAAAAAATTTCAAATTGATATTAAAAATTGCCGCAAAACATTGTTCATTTATTCAAGATTGAATGATCTATTAAAACATTGTAATTTGATACATTGTATCTATTTTCAATTTTTCAAGTGGAATTGTTCACCAATATTGTATACTATAGCAGCCATACCCAACTGGTCGATCAGAAAAAAAAGCGTTCAATTAGAATGGAGCAAAAACAGCATCATATTTAGATGTAATAGCGCCTATCTTCTTCAATTACTTTAAAAAACATGAAAAACACTGTGAATTAATGCAGTTACTGATATAACAGAAGTAGTCTGTATTTATTCAATCGAAGTTAACCGAGAACATGAAAGGCTAAACTAGGCAACATGAAGGCCCACTTCAGACCACAATTATTTTGGAGTTTTTGAAATTCAATTTGTCAGTGTGCTACCAGGGATGTAAAAGAGGATACATTTATAAGGAAATTGTTAAGTTTGATAAAAATTGGTTGAAAGATAAAAAAAAATAGGAAAGAAATAAAGAATAAAAATAAAGAAAAATAAGAAAAAAAAAACAGTAAAAAATTTTCACTATATGGGTGGACTCAATTATCAAGTTAAATGACTGTTAAACAATCAACTCATTGTTAGCTACAATTGAGTGAAGTTTGTATTAGATTGCTTGAAAATTGAGGAAGTTTTTAGTTTAAAATTTGTGTTGAAATCGATTTGTGCTGAAATCGATTTTTTATTTTTCGCGGTTTTTCGCAGTGGCGTAGGAACAAAAATAAAGTATAGTCGAGCTCGTCATAATATAAGTAACCTACATACCGAGTTTGAACGAAATCGGTGGAAAAATAGTTGAATTTATCAATTTTTGATCAGCTTTATCGATTATTTATTTTAAAAAAATTATCGATTTCTTACGCTAAGAGCCTACAGTTGTACAATGTATTGTATTGTACAATGCATGTGCCAATTTTGGTCAAAATCGGTTGGATGGATCTCGAGTGAAAAGACAGACAGACAGACATCCTCTGTTTTATATATATATATAGATAGATGATCCGTTATTGTACATAATTAGGTTAGAATAAAATTTGTATTTTATGTGAATATTACCTTATGAAAATTGAAATGTAGTAAAGTGTGTATTTCGTATCATAGATTCGAGGACCCTACCTCCTTGCGCTGATCCTGAAGTTGAGTCATAAGTTGTTTCCGTTTTGGGGAACAAATTGCAATGGCCAATGTAACATTCTAACTACTAATCATACGTGGCAGTGATGAATAAATTTGGAGTACAGTAAGTTATGGCAATTTTCAACTCAAACTTGACAGGGACAAATCTCTACAAACGACGCCAAAAACTAAACTCCATATAAGAGAGATAGAGTTCTTAAAACACAATGAAATACTAGATGCACATTTATACGTCCAACAGCTGCAACATATCCGTAAAAGATTAGCCGAAAAGCACCCCGCACTCGTCATTAGAAAAACAAAAAGTTGTTCTCCTCCATGACAAAGCAAGACCGTATGCAACAAGAAAATAGTTTGGAACGCGGTTGGTTTGTTCAACCCCAGGTGTTCATCTAACCTTGCATCAAACGATTATTACATTTTTCCAGCGCTGCAAAGCACTTTTCCCTAATGAAAACCAGATTCGCCTTGTGTTGTAGTGTCCTCCTTCTAAAGAGTCTATGTTGGAGTCTTCCGCCTACTATAAGATTAGTAGGAGAGAAGGCCTTGAGGGAACAGTCGAATAGATTGTTCTTTACTGACGAACTCTGTGCCTTGAGCAGAGAGGAACCCGGACGAGGCTTTGCCGAAGGACAAAATTCCGTCCGGGGAGGTAGACTGACCCTGAACCCATTTATACCGGTTCTAGGGTTCAGAGAACCCACGGTAAACTCGGCCTTGTGCCATATACATCCCTCGTGGGGGGTGTTAAATATTAACAGTCGATTAGATTGAACGTGGGTCAACCGACCCACACTCACTAGTCGTGTAATACTCTTCTTTTGTACTTACTGTTTAATATATGCTATATCTGTAACACTTGTTTTGTTATTTCTTTAACTATTTACTTGGTCACAATACCTTGTTACATCCACAGTGTTAAATCACCCATATTTCCTCCGTATTCTAATAGTAAGAAGGAAGTTCCAACCAGAAAGGTTCTTCCGAAGAATTACTAGTTTGTGGAACAGACACCCGCTTGGATGCTTTCTTGAGCACTACAATCTTCAAGTCTAATTGTTATCTGTCCTTTATTTCTTCATATCCATCACTTCCTACTTCTTTCTTTTATGCTCATATCATAGACCACATTTAGTAAACCTCTGCCTCGAGTGGCCCTTGAGCCTTGTATTGGGTGGAGGTTAGTAAAATGTTGGTTGTTCAATTACTCTACCTTTGTGCCAAACATAAAACCACACACGCACAAATTAATTTTCTTACCTTAAAATGAATTTTCTTACCTTAAAATGAATTTTCTTACCTTAAAATGAATTTGAGAAAAACAAAAACATAACTTACCTTCCGTTGGTATTCTATTCTCCGAAAAACGATTCACTATATTCTATAAAATTAAGATAAAGAAAAGGACTTTATTGTAAGAATGAAAAAATAAAACACACATGTCAAACATCAACAGAGAGCAAAAGGTTCAAAATGAAAGATATTTTCGAGTGTGTAGGGGTGTTTCAAAGTAGGTTGGCTACCCTAAAGCTCGAGAAACTTCAGGCGCGAAATAGGTATCTCAAAAAATATTGATATAAGTTGGGGTACCAAATTTGACGGTATATAATCTTACACTTTTTAAAAATATTTTTTTAAAAATCCCCCAGTGTCTTATATGCTAAGTTCAGGTCTCCTGTATGCTAATTGAGCTGTTAACCATGATTTGTCTTGGGAGTGATAGTGCAATGGTTTTCCGTTGCCTTCTCGAGGGTTATTTATCGAAACACCACCTCTAGTAAGCTGGCCGTTGACTCAGTGTGTCCCTCCGCCCAAAGGGGCGTAAGGCAAGGATGCGTCATCTCACCTGACCTGTTCAACCTATACAGCGAGGCAATCCTGAGAGAAATGGAAACTCTACCGGGATTTAGCATGACGGCCGCAATCTTAACATAAGATACACAGATGACACAGTACTGATAGCAGACACGGAAATGAAATTACAAATCTCTTACGGAAGGTAGCGACGGGGAGTAAGAAGAATGGACTAAGCATAAACTACAAGAAGAAGGAGTGCATGGTCGTTAGTAAGTGGAAGAGCCCGAAATGCGATCTGAAGGTCGGGAACACTAGAATCAAGCAGACGCAGAAGTTTTAATAGGTAGGAAGCGTCTTGACAGAAGACGGAAAGTG